AGGCTGTGCGCAAGTGCACTTAACCATTGTCTCACTAAATGGAAATTCTCTACTTGCAGGGATTTTTAGCAAGAAATATCTTTTCTTAAAATTTGTTTAAAACAGACATATAGGTTATTTTGGCAGTGATGCGTGACGTCTTGCTACTTACACGGAGGCAAAATGACTCACAGGGAGTTTTATCACAGGGACAATATACATTACCACTAAGCCTTATGCTAGCTATTTGGATTCAGTTGGTCTTAGACTGGCACAAATTGATTATTTCCAAGGGTTTAGATTAAATTGTTTCCATTTCAGTTTATGTAACTGCTTCTCTTTTGCTTTATTATGATCTCTTTTATGTGGAATTGCCAAAAGCCTTGATAATTTGTAGTCACTTTTACATTACTCTTAAAAGTCAGTTAGACTGCAAATCATCTTACTATACAAACAGCTTATTGTTTAACGGGAGAGAGTTTTAATCTAAAATTAAGCATAATAGTGGCACACTTGAAATTGTTCAAGATACAGAATTTAAAATTTCAGCTTCTTAGGCCTTGCTTCCAATGATACTCATTCCCAGCTGATTATTATACACCATTTTAGCAACTGTTGAACCAGTTACCAGGCATGCATTTCCAATAAGTCTCAAGGGCTACAATTCCTCTCAGGATTCTGCAATCACTGAAATGTAGTTCTGTCTGGCACCTATTAATTGTATTATCTTTTATTTATGAGCTTGCAATAAAAGATTTCCTTTGGGGGAAAAGTACTACTTTGGAAAAAAAAATCTAGAAGCCTTCTATTGCAAATTTCTATTTCTAGAATTTCTTCTTTTGATTCAGACTGTGATTCTATTTTAAAATTCAATATATTCTAATATTAGAGGACTACTATTCACAATGGAATTGTTTTTCAAATGCCGTTAGCTGAGTTGCCTTTTGATTTCAATGTCTTCTGTGATGTCCCCCTACGTATGCTGTACCATTGTTCTCCTGATAGAAACATGTTATAGTTTCCCTTGAGTGAAACACAAGCCAGCGCTGGTGCCCTGGTGATGCTCAACAACTGAGGGAAGGGACTGATTCATGCCGTTTGCTGCTTCCCGCAGTGTAGGACGCTTGTTACAATAGCCCGTTTGAAGCCATGAGAGTGACCTCACTAAGTGGAGCTAGGAGGAGATGCGTACAGCACAATATTTCTACTGTCCAGAGACAGGAAAGGTACTTCACTTGAAGGGTATAGTAAAATGTAGTCAAAGAGATAATTAGGAATAAAATGGGAGTGCTATTTACTATTAATGATGGGTTTGTGAGTTTTAATGTCTGTTTTTAGTATACTTCATATGTAGAACTTATTTTATAGTAAGGATAGCCAGAAAACTGTTTCCATAGAAATAGGTTGTTTCGAAATGGGAGGAGACTGTTATGGATATCCTGCTTTGCCATCTCATTTCATTGCACAATATTAAATTTATGAGTAGCAATAGTGTTGTGACAGTAGGTGCTTTCCTGGCGCCTTTATGTACAGCTAGCTGAAAGTCTAGTGGAGGTTCTCAGACACAGCTACCGTCACTGCATATTTTTGCTTTTCTTGATTGCCTAGCACTGTGGGTGTAAATTTTATACCTAATTGAAATTATATTTAGCTGTTTGTTCTCCGTATGTTCTTTCAAAATCTGTTTTTCAGATGAATTTGTTTAAACATTAGATTGAGACAAAAAAGTAGCAATTGAAGAAAAATTAAAATCTGTAAATACAGATATACCAGAGGGTCACCATAGTTAATACAGTTGAACAACAGACTTGAGCGTGTCCCCATAACATTTTACTTTTTAAGATTCACTGATTTTCATTGGAAAGATTTACAAAGAGAAGCAGAAACAGAAAGATCTTCCACCTGCTGGTTCACTGCCAAAGTGGACACAACAATCAGAGCTGAGCCAGTTCGAAGCCAATAGCCAGGAGCTTCTTCCGGGACTTCCACACAGGTTTAGGATCCCAAGGCTTTCCCAGGCCACAAGCAGGGAGCTCGAAGGGAACTGGAGCAGCCTGAACACAAACTGGTACCCTTAGGGGATCCCAGCACTTGCAAAGGGACGATTAGTTACTTGAGCCATCACACCAGGCCCTCCATGAAATATTTTTAAAAAGAATGATACAGTTCTTTTTTATTTTTATTTTATTTTTTTAAAGATCTATTTTATTTTTATCGCAAAGTCAGATATACAGAGAGGAGGACAGACAGAAAGGAAGATCATCCATCCAATGATGCACTCCCCAAGTGAGCGCAACGGGTGGTGCTGCGCCAATTCAAAGCCAAGAGTCAGGAACCTCCTCTAGGTCTCCCACGCAGGTGCAGGGTCCCAAGATTTTGGGCCGTCCTCGACTGCTTTCCCAGGCCACAAGCAAGGAGCTGGATGGGAAGTAAAGCAGCTGGGATTAGAACCGGCACCCATATGGGATCCTGGCGTGTTCAGGGAGAGGACTTTAGCCAGTAGGCCACAGCGCCAGGCCCAGAATGATACAGTTCTAAGATGACTGAAGGAGAGGCATCATCATTTTCTCAAAGAAAACTAAGCATTGCATTGCATTGAATTCCAAAGTAAATGTCATACACGATTTCCTATACTTTTACAAAAACAGCCTTTAACACTCTTGCTGTAGCTTTTGTCTTCATACAGCAGGGTCTTATAATATACTTAAAGAAAATTCAAGACTGTGGTATATGTTTTCTACTGAAAGAAGATGGGTGTAATAGTTGGGGAATATAACTTGGTGGTCAAGCTTGATCTAAAGTTAAGATAATATCATTTAGGGAATAAAGATTGAGTATAAGAATGGAGGGATCCAGCACAACAGCTCAGTGGCTGAATCTTCACCTTGAAAGCTTGGAGATACATTTTGATGCCAGTTTCTGTCCTGACTGCTCTGTTGTCCTTCCATTTCCCTGTCTGTGGCCTGGGAAAGCAGTGGAGGATGGCCCAAAGCCTTGGGACCCTGCACCTGTGTGGGGGAAAACTGGCAGAGGCTCCTGGCTCCTGACTTTGGATCAACTACTTAGCTCTGGCTGTTGTGCCCACTTGGGGGAAAACCCCTGGATGGAAGATCTTTCTAGCATTCCTTCTCTCTGTAAATCTGATCTGCTTTTCCAATAAAAATAAGTAAATCCTTAAAAGAAATAGAAAGAGAGAGAGAGAGAAGGAAGGAAGGAAGGAATTGCCTGTATTTTTCAAAGGAATGGGGGCTGGCAGGAACCCCTGTATGTTGACCATCCTCTGTCCAGGCTATCTTACATAGCTTATGTCCTGACTACAAGATAAGTATTTTTAGAAATGTTTTTGAAGATATAGAAAAAAAATGGCTCACTTAACTTTTGAAACTAAAATTTTTTGATCAGCAGGGACCTGGACTGTCATTCCAATATGGGGTGTGTCACTGCAGGTGGCTGTCCTAACAAGCTCCACTAGAAAGGCAGCTCCAAGAAAATGGTTCTGATGGGTTTATAAATGTGGATGTGATGGGCTATATAAACTTATTATTGAATTTTTTTTCCAGAAAATTTTTTTTGATGTTTTATTTATCTTTTTGCAAGGGAAGGGAGACAGAATTCCCATCCACTGGTTCAGTTTCCCAGTGCTCGGGCCCAGGCCTGACCAAAGCTGCTTCTATTTCTTTGACAAGGGTGCCAGGCTTCACCCGTTGCCTCTCAGAGGAAGCCAAATTCAGCAGACAGAATCAAGACCTGAACCCAGGCATCCCGGTCGGTCCTAACCATGAGGCCCCCATACCAGCCCCATAGAGTAATTTTTGGCGACACAAATTCTATGATATGGTACGTCAAATTGCTCATTGTAAGCTATGTACACTATGTCATGACATTTCCGCGGCTACACATTCATTATATTTGTGTGTATCTTTAGGATGTAAGATTTCGTGACCAGAACAAATGACATAAAAGTTTTGTTCGAAAATTAAAGTTATTTTAAATGCTTTGAAGGTTATTTAAATGCCTATTGTCATTAATATACCACACTACAGAGCTCTGTCACCATAATTAAAAACCAGTGCTTCCTAAAATGATAACACAAAGGACTGAGTTTTTATTACTACAGATTTTCTGTGTATGTGAGCATGTGTGTGTTATATTTATATTTTAGGTATATGATGAAAATCACTGAGAATCTCTATACAATAAAACGTTGTCGATGATTATCTCTGACTGATAGAATTAGGGACATTTTTATTTTACTTTTGATGATTTCCTGAATTTTCCAAGTATTCCTTTAAGAATTTTTTTTGTGATGAGATAAAAGGATTTAAATTTAATGTAATTTTACTTTCCCCAAAAACATTTTACTTTCCATGAAACTTTTATCTAAAATACTGAGGGCCAGGCATGCGGCAGCATGTTAAGCCACTCTTTGGGACACTCACAGAGTCTTTGTTGCTAATGCACCTGAGAGGCGACAGATGATGTGTGGAGCACGTGGGTGGCTGCCACACAAGCAGGAGACTCCAGTGCACTGCCTGGCTTCTGCTGGATCCTGTCCCAGTCCCACCTGCTGCCAACTTATGAGGAATGGACCAGCCCCTCTCTTTGTCCTTTTCCCTTTCTTTCTCTGTCTTTCAAGTAATTAAATAGATCTTTTTTTTTTCTATTTTAATTTTATAATACAATGCCTTAGGCTTCGGAGTTTCCCTTGCCCATTCCCCAAATTTGCTCCCCCTCACTGATTTCCCCCATATTCTCACACCAGCACGGTCCTTCATAAGCAGTCACCAGTCCGTCATTCTGCTGTTGAAGTGCATCCTGACATTCATAGTGGTTGTGCATAGGTATTTTAAAATCATTGATACTGAAGTTTTTTAAAAATATGTTTTAACTTTCTTTTCTGAAAAGATTTACGAAGTTTGTACAAACTTGCACTTGTGTGTTTTCTGTTTCTATGGGTTAGGTTTTCTATGGTTTAAATTTATACTGTTGTGTCTGATTAGTCTTCTACTTTTTACTTTCAGGCTGGTGTTTGGAATGCTTTATCCTGCATATTATTCATACAAAACTGTGAAAACAAAAAACGTGAAAGAATATGTGAGTATAATTTTTGAGGGATTAATTCTAATTTAATATTTCTGTGATGTGCAACACTAGTAATATTTTGGGTTAAAATGTTATATAAATGTGATGTAATGAAATTTATCTTTTTTAGAAACCAATTTGGCATCTAAATAAGTGTGTGGTTCCCAAGATGAATGATTGACTAGCTCTTCATTTAGTCTATAAATTCCAGTATAACAAGGGGATTTTTTTGTTTGACTTAGGAGATGGAAACTGGTTTGTGATAACTTTTACCCGTATAAATTTACGGTACACCAAGAATGTATCTCTCTGAGCATAAAGTTTTTTCCTCTATTTCTGATTGATTTTAATAAGCAAATACCCTATCACTACTCACAATCTTTTTGTTCTTCACTCGGACTCTTTGTGATGACTTCACTTTTAATCCTCAGTATTTCTTCTCAAACTTTTCTGTTTCCTAATATTTGTTTTATTTTGTTTTTGCTAATTGTTTTTATTTATTTTTTAAAATTTCTGATATTTCTCTAAATTTCCAATTTCAACCATCCCCTTTAATAGTAAATGAGCTGGGCCTGACACAGTGGTCTAGCAGCTAGAGTCCTCACCTTGAACATGCCAGGATCCCATATGGGTGCCGGTTCTAATCCTGGCAGCTCCACTTCCCATCCAGCTCCCTGCTTGTGGCCTGGGAAAGCAGTTGAGGATGGCCCAAAGCCTTGGGACCCTGATCCCTCATGGAAGAAGACCTGGAGGGGCTTCTGGCTCCTGGCTTTGAATTGGCGCAGCACTGGCCGTTGTGCTCACTTAGGGAGTGAATCATCAAATGAAAGATCTTCCTCTCTGTCTGTCCTCTCTGTATATCTGACTTTGCGATAAAAATAAATCTTTAAAAAAAAATAGTAAATGATTTTCTCTACCTGTAATTCCTGGCACAATTTATTATTTTTGATGAAGTGAATTTGCAGAGCGTGGCACAACCATATGTTGTTGGTTGCTAATCAGGAAATGTAAGGAGTCATTATGAAGATAAATGCATGGAAGTAATCATGGCTCTTGAAACACTGAGCTAATAGTCACATAACACAAAATTAACCATTTAGACCAACATTTAGTACCATCACATTATTGCTCAAACACTATAGATGGTTCCAAAATGTTTCCATCACTCCAAAATAAAACCCCTTGCCCAAAGCAGTGGTTTCCTATCCTCCTCTTCCCCCAGCTCAGAAATGTGCTTTCTGATTAGTGTGGATTTGCCTATTCTGGATGTTTCATATAACTGGAATGGTGTTATAGGCGACCCCTCCATGTGTGCTTGTTTTCTCTTACTGTGTTTTCCACCTGTGTTTTAGCATGCACGAGTGCTGCTTTCCTTGGCGTGTCTGAGCATGGATGTGCTGCCTCTTGTTTATCCGTTCTCTGCTGACATTTGAAGTATTACTACCTTTGGCTATTATGAATAGTGCTGTCACAGACATTCATTTGCTGAGATTTGAATACTTTTTTTTAGCCTTTTTCGATGTATAGCTATGGTTCTTTGTAACAGATCTTGGATGATCAAGGATTATATCATTGTTTATTTTGAATTTGGGGGGCTTGGGGAATGTAAGCAGAGATTTTTAACTAATTCTATTGAGCTTTTATAGCCATTGTTTTCTTTAATGTAAAACTAATTTTTGAAGTGAAGTATTTATGGGTTATTTAGAATGCTGGAATTTATCTGGCAGAGATCAAGAAATTACTTAGTTGAGCTCTAGAATTTTGCTTCATGTTATTAAGTATATCTTGAATCTATAGTTGGTGAAACATTCTTTAAGATATGGGACCACAATAAGTCCTACTTGTGTAAATTCCCTTTCATAAATAGCTTGAAAATATATTCTAATGTGCATTGTAGTAAATGCTTCAAGTATTGGTTTGAAATGTTGGCATAGGGCCCGGCGCAATGGCATAGCAGTTGGGTTCCTCTCCTTGAACGTGCCAGGATCCCTTACGGCTGCCAGTTCTAATCCTAGCAGCCCTGCTTCCCATCCAGCTCCCTGCTTGTGTCCTGGGGAGGCAGTCGAGGATGGCCCAAAGCCCCCATGTGGGAAACTTGGAGGAGGCTCCTGGGCTCCTGGCTTTAGATTGGCTCAGCTCCAGCCTTTGCAGCTGCTTAGGGCGTGAACCATAGGATGGAGGATCTTCCTCTCTGTCTCTCCTCCTCTCTTTATATCTGCCTTTCCAATATAATAATAATAGTAATAATAATAATAATAATAATAAATCTTTTTTAAATGTTGGCATATTTTTGTTTTTAGAAGTCATTTCTTCTCTTCCTCAGTGTGCTCCTCAAACTGTGTGATAAAGGACTGGTTTTGCTTTGCTTTATTTTGTTTTTGTTTCCCCAATGTCATAGACCAATTTGTTTGTAAGATGAAAAAAAAAAACTAATCACTGAAAACATAAAATTGAAACAAAAAGAGAGAGAGAGAAAGAGAGAGAGAGAGCCAGGAAAACGGAATGCAACCCACTGTTTTAAAAAATCCTAGATTCAGTGGACATGAAGTTACTATCAATTTTTGAACTTAGAGCAACAACACAGTAACACTTCACAGCATTGTACAGTGCCCTGGACAACATGCTGCCTATGGTGCAATGTTTTAACTGAAAGTATTTTTTGAAAGGTAAAAATAGCAATAGTCCATCATTTCCAGACGGTGAAGGTAGCCACTGAGGAGTGCGTTACTGCCCAGTGCTTAACAAGCCTGAAGCCTCTGTGATGCTGAAGGTAGTTAGTGTGCGTGAAACCAGGGTGACAGGTCTGTGACTTTGGACTGGTTCCAACCTCTTATGCTTCTGAAAGACCCAGGATACAGGATAACGGATGTGTTTCTTTTGGGGGGGGCGGTCTTTGCTGAAGATATTCTCCCAATTTCCCTCCCAAATCTACTTGGTTCTATGGGGGAAATGCCAAGCATAAATTGAAAATGAAGGAGCCAGTGCTGTGCTGTTGCAAATTAAGCCTCCGCCTGTGGTGCCAGCATCCCTACCTGCTGCACTTCCAACCCAAATGCCTGCAAATGGCCTAGGAAAGCTGTACAGGATGACCCCAGTGCTTGGGCCCCTTGGCCCTCAAAAGAGCCTGGAAGAGACTCCTGGCTCCTGGCTTCCGGCCGGCCAGCGCTGACCATCACAGTCCTTGGGGAGTGTGTCAGTATGTGTGAATCTCTCTCTGTCTCTCCTTCTCTGTAATTCAGTCTTTCACATACAAATAAGTAACTTTTTAAAAATTAAAAAGAGGGCCCGGCGCGGTGGCGCAAGTGGTTAAGGTCCTCACCTTGCACGCCCGTGATCCCATATGGGCGCCGGTTCTATCCCGGCAGTCCCACTTCCCTTCCAGCTCCCTGCCTGTGGCCTGGGAAAGCAGTCGAGGACGGCCCAAAGCTTTGGGACCCTGCACCCGCGTGGGAGACCCGGAAGAGGCTCCTGGCTTCGGATCGGCATAGCACTGGCCGTTGCGCTCACTTGGGTAGTGAATCATCGGACAGAAGATCTTCCTTTCTGTCTCTCCTCTCTGTATATCTGCCTTTCCAATAAAAAAATAATAAAAATAAATCTTTAAAAAAATTAAAAAGAAAATGAAGTTAACATGTGAAGTTCTAATGATTTAATGATTTGTAATCAACAAGAACAGAAATACCATCCCCCAAAATAAAAGAGAACAATAATATGAAGATATTAAATACATTATAATAGAAATTAGATTTCATATATAAACAAATGCTAAAATATAAAGCTGGAAAGATGTTTTCTGGATATTGGCATAACAACTATTATTAAAAATCAGTCCATTTACTGATACGCCTCAATATAATTTATTTCTTTTTAAAAAAAATTTATTTATTTTTATTGGAAAGTCAGATCTACAGAGAGAAGGAGAGACAGAAAGATCTTCCATCCACTGGTTCACTCCCCAAGCAGCTGCAATGGAGTTAAACCAATCTGAAGCCAGGAGCCAGGTACTTCTTCCAGATCTCCCACACGGGTGCAGGATCCCAAGACTTTGGGCCATCCTCGACTGCTTTCCTAGGCCACAAACAAGGAGCTGGATGGAAAGTGGGCAGCCGGGATACAAACCAGTGTCCATATGGGATCCTGGCATGTGTAAGGCGAAGACCTTAGCCACTAGCCCCACTTCAATAAAACTTTAGTGTTAGCTTTTAAAGACTTAAAAACATGATTTTGTGCATTTTATTCCTTTAATACAGCACTTAGATTTTATTACTTATTAATTTGTAAAATTGAGGATTGTTAAGGCTAATGTAACTGAAATTTTCCTTATGCTTCATACATTAAAGTTTTATTCTTATTCAAACTGGTGAGAGAACTAAGATTTCACATTAATATATACATGTATGGGTATATTTAGATATTTTGTGTATTTATTTATGTAAAATTTCCCCACTTTAAGGCTGATTGGCTAGTAACTTGAATTCCACCTGCAGCCTTGTTTCTGCTTTATCTTATCTATCACCCCAGTATTCACAGTTGGGATTAGCATCAGACATTACTCTGCAGCCCTACAAAGTAGACATGGAAGCTGTCCCCGTGTTACAGGTTCAGCGAGCCACATGCACCTGCCCGTGGTCACGTGGGCCCTCAGCACAGGGTAGGCACCAGATCAGTGTTCTCTTCCTAGTGTTTACTGCATTTGCCCGGACTACCTTTAGATATGTAGATGAGGAACAGAGCTTCCCCACAACTGGAAACTGCTTTCACAGCCAAACAGTGAATTCGCTCTTGGCAGATTCAAAGGTGCGTTCCTATGGAGCACAACCAAATAGATGTTTTTCCAGGAAGGACGGTTCAGGCAGCTTAACCAGTACTGAGGCAGGATTGTAAGCCTCTAAACTGTGAACTAAGCGATTACAGTGAAATTAGAAGTTTCTTACATTCTCTAATATTAGAAATGCTAGAGTCTTGACAGTCCTTTAAGTTCCTTTCAATCTAAGTTCACTTTGACAATAATT